AGATAGATTATGGAACAATCTCTTATTTGGATGAAATGTCGTCTCTGTCTCTGTGATATTACTATGCAAAATCAGGGTTCTTTTTTAAAATAAAGTTTCTGTTCTTTGCAGGAAGAATAAGTCCTAATATTGCACTTCTTGGTGAACTAGGGGCTTAATGTAATGCCTGGCAGAGCTCAGGGAGTGTGCAGTCTAAGCATGCATAGAAAATCTGATTTTTTTTCTCCCTGTGGTGAAAACAGGATTGCTAAGGCATGAGCTCTCCAGAAGCATTAGGGGCGGATACTAGTATACTCCTGCAGTCTACAATGTATCCCATGAAAGTCTTGTCTTAATCCTGTGGGAACCACTTTGGGAGCTCAGCTTTGTACAGGAGAGGCTGCATACGCCACGCGGCTGGAACAGTCTCCTGTTTGTGCATATTGTGTGGGTCACCGCGATACTGCCTTGCGGGTTTTAGCCCATCTGATCGAGATGTGAAAAATGTGAGTAATAAAGGCTATTGTGCCTAGTGTCGTTATGGCGAATGTCCTTGACTTTGGGCAATTAGCTCGGTAGCTGAGATTTAAAAATAGTCTCCTAGTACGGGGGTTGGATGCGTGTGGTTGAAGGGCTCTATCAATCTAATCTATCTAGTGTGTGTCTGTGAGTCTGTTTATTCAAGAACCCCTGAACGGTAAGAGCTAGGGCCACCAAATTTGGAAAGCAGCTTCCTCTTCTCCTAACTTGAAGCAAGGTCAGGGTTTAGCTGTGCCAGGACAACAGGAAACCTCAGGGAAAGGACTGTTTTCCATAACACACAAAGGAAGGGGCTGCTGTTCCAAGGGACGTGATATGAGAATGGCCACTGGGGGCAGCCACATCACCAGGGGGAGTGGCCAGCAGGGCTAGGACTCTGCCATCTTACCTGCCAGCACACTGAGTAAGTAGCTCCCTGCCCCGAACCCTTTCCCCCCTCCCAGCCCTTGGCTGCAGTTTTCCCCCAGCATTGGCTGCAGCACATAGGGGGGGGGGGTGCTGGGGGCCTGGACTGGCCCCTGTGGCCTGCTCCACCTGCAGAGGGCCTTCAGGCCATGGGGTGAGGGGGACTCTGGAGATTGGGGCTGCCCATCGGAGCCTCCCCCCGACAGGCTGCAGACAACAAGGTTGTGGGGGGGCCCCTGCAGGCCAGGAGCCACTCCTAGAACCTTGCGCCCCCAGACAGGCTGCAGGACATGGAGAGGGGGGGCTAGAGGCTGGGAGCAGCCCCAGGAACCGCCCCTCCCCCACTGACAGCCTGCGACTGCAATGGACCCCTGGAGGCCTGGACCTGCCCCCGGAGCCTCCCTCACACCCACAGACAGCTGTAGCCTGGGGTTGGGGGTCTCTGCAGACCAGGGCTCTTGCTCCCACCCAGGCACAGAGAGCCGGTGTAACGTCACAAACAGCGGTGAGCACAACTGGCTGCCAGTAGCTGTTTTGACAAACTACCTGGCAGATTTCGCTTCCATCAGTTTTAGCTACCAATAATGCATAATTAGAGGGGAAGCTGATTATGGTAGATGGAGATGCACAGTGTCACATTTGGCTGCCTGGACCCCTGCCAGTAGTCCAGAGGGGCCTTTCGCATCCCCTGGTCCGGGGCTACTGATTCCTATAGAGGGGGTGATTCACCCTGTCACATTTGACTGCCTGGACCCCTGCCACTGGTCCAGAGGGGCCTTTCACATCCTCTTGTCTTCAGCGCTACCCTTCCCATGCCACACAGTGTTCTAGCAATGATTTACAGGTTCTAGGGCTCTTTTAAATCGCTAGACCCTTGGGCAGCTGCCCTTCCCCTCTCCCTCCCAGTTATTTTTGCACTGATTAGACACTGATTCGATTTCTAAATACTCTGACTTAGGTATAATAGAGCACGTATGATTAACTACACAGTTTTCTCAGAGGCCATTTTTGCATTGCATCTTCTCCTTTTTGCAGCATAAATTGGGCGGCAGCTAGGAAACTAATACAATTCCCTCTAAATTCTTAATTGTCCTCATCATGGAACCTGGTTAATTGACTATGTCTTGACTATATCAGTTTACGCTGAGGAAAATAAATGGGGAATGATGTTGATATGAAATGCATTCGATGCTGTGAGTGATTAAACAGTGTTAGGGTTTTTAAGTTATACTAAAACATTGAAATTAAGTCTGAAATAAATCTAAGATATTTAAAGAATGATGGCTGACATTTTCGTTTACCAAACCTTTGTGATGTATACCAAAGACTATGTGTATATTTCCAGTTTGAAAGTGGAAGGCAACTTGGGTGAAACTGATCATGAACTCATAGAATTCATGATGCTAAGGAATGGTTGAAGGCCCAAAATGAGCTCACTCTTGCTAGAGACATAAAGGGTAACAAGAGGACTTTCTATAAATATATTAGAAGCAAGATGAAGACCAAGGACAGGGCAGGTTCACTGCCCAATGATGCTGGAGAAACAATATCAGGAAACTTGGAAATGGCAGAAGTGCTTAATGGCTTCTTTGTGTCCGTCTTCACCATGAAGTTTGATGATGAAAGGATGCCTATCATAGTGACTGCTAGTGGAAGTGGGGTAGCTTTAGAAGTTTTTTTTTAAAAAGTTAACATTTCTTAGAAAAGTTAGATGCCAGCAAATCACCAGGGCCTGATGAAAATGCATCCTAGAATACTGATAGAGGAGGTATCTGAGCCCTTAGTTATCATCTTTGAAAAATCATGGAAGTTGGGAGAGATACCTGAAGGCTGCAAAAGGGCACATCTAGTGCCCATCTATAAAAAGGGAAATGAGAACAACCCAGGAAACTACAGACCGGTCAGTTTAACTTCTGTGCCAGAGAAGATAATGGAACAAGTAACTAAAGAATTCATCTGCAAACACCTGGGAGATAATACGGTGATAGGTAACATAAGCATGGAGTTGTAAAGAACAAATCATGTCAAACCAATCTGATAGCTTTCTTTGATTAGATAACAAGTCTGTGGATAAGGGAGAAGCAGTGAACATGGTATACCTAGACTTTAGTAAGACAGTTGATACGGTTTCACATTATCCTCTTATCACTAAACTAGGCAAATACAACTTAGATGGGGCTGCTATAAGTTGGATGCAGAACTGGCTGGATAACCGTTCTCAGCGAGTAGTTATTAACAGTTCAGTCATGCTGGAAGGGCATAACAAGTGAGGGTCCAAAGGGGGTCTCTTTTGGGCCCAGTTCTGTTCAATATCTTCATCACTGGTGAGCTGATGGCATAGCACGTACATTTATTAGGTTAGCAGATGATACCTAGTAAAGAGGGGGTTGCAAGACCTGGTACCCTACAGCCTGGATGTGTCCGAGGCATCCTCTGAGGCCAGGGAAGGCTCCTCAGGCGAGTGGTCTTAGTTTCTTACTCAGCCAGGGTAGGGATGGTGGGCACTGAGAGCAGGGGGTGTGATCATTGCTCGGCCTTCGGATGGCGCTGCAGTCTGTGAATATGGATGCATACGCAGCACCAGTCTGCACCCTGCAGCTCCAGACAGCAGCACCAGAGCACTCACAGGCTAGGAGGCAGCTGGGGACATACACACTCACACATGCCGCACATGGGCATGCCTGCACACCGGAGGCAGCACCCGCTCCCGGGGACAGCGTACCAGGTGCAGGCGTGTGTTCGGCTCACCTCCCCCATACCCTCCCCCTCTCCCCCAGCAGCCAGGGATACAAGGTCTCTCCCCTTGGGATGCCACCACTGCTGAAGCCGGCATGTGTGTGACACCGATGGAAGCCCAGCCAACTCGAGACCCCCTCCCGCCCATTGGATCCCAGTGTGGCCAGCCATTTCCCATGCCTGCTTGTCCCCAGGATGTGGGGTGTGTGAGAGAAGCATGGTCCCCTGGAGTGGTCTGGGTCCCTGTAAGACAGGGCCTGCTGTCCAGGCCACACATGGCCTGGATCCCAGGACATCACCATCCTCTGACCCAGGAACTGTTGGTCTCAGCTCACAGACGAGGGCACGGCTTCAGGGCCAGTGTCTCCAGGGATGACTGACTATCTCTCGTTATTGACCCCAGCTGGACCAGCCATGACAGGGGTGCGAGAATCACCAACTGAGCCAGCTACCTGACACCGGGGGAAAAAGGGCTGAAAAGTTATTCGCCCCAAACGTTACGGGTCATATTTTTATAGCAAGGATCCATTTTTGTAAGGGTAGCCACATGATTAATCGATGACCACACATTGGAGGTGTGGGGTTGTGGTTAGACGCAACTGATTCAGCTATTGGCTGCTGAAGAGTTGCTTAGCCATTTATTAACCATCTATTACCCCCTTTATAAACTAGCTCTAATAAGAAAGCGTGACCGAGTTACTCTTAAGAGATGGAAAGGCAGCCTGAACAAAGCTTGTAGCAAGGAACATAAACTGGTTGTTAAAAATGTAAATGGGAACGTGAAGACAAAATAGACGGAACAGGATAAAACCCAAACTCTGTAAAGTACATTGGAAACAGCAAGCCTGAGAGAGAAAGTGGTGGATTCGCTGGAAAGAGTAAAAGTGAACAAGTAAAGAGGAAAAGGAACCATCACGGAAGCTCATTAGTTTTGTTGCACGAATGTGGTGAGAGCAGGCTCTAAACTTGTACGGTGAGATTTTCAAAAGGAAAATCCTTCAGCATAATACCGCCCCCCCCCCCATTACAGTCCAAGGAAAAATCCCCATGACTTAACTGCAACAGCATCTGGTGCCATGTGCGTGTAGTTATATATAATGAATGCATAGATTGTATTATGTGTTAAGTTATTCAGGAAACCTTTAAAAATCTATTTGATGGTGACCTACTTACTCTGAAAAGGGCTGCATAGTACAATCGTCCATGCAGATTATGCATGGAAATTTAATTACATATCACTTGTTATTCAGACACAAGCATAAGGTCAGTGTTCTCTCTTCAGCTTTTAAAATCGCTCCCATCCCCCCAATAAATGGGACCAAAGTTCACAAGAAGCCTTGACAATATGTATTATTCATATGTTACATTTAAAGATAAATAATTTTGAGCAATAAAGGAAACATAGTCTGCTCTTGACAAAAATAAATAAGGCAATGCACAATAGTCATAAAATACAAGAATGCAGACCAGATACAACAAAGTTTGCAGAGGGTTGGTTTTTTCTAAACATAGTAAAGAGTTGTATAGTACATTCCAAACAAAAAAAATAGTGCAGTTTTTTTAACATAAAGTCCTCAGGCTGGGTTTGTTGGAGAGAGTTTTTTCTTCTGACGGGATTTTTAACAGATTTTTGTTTTCACCTCTCAAATGAACAAACAGATACACAAATCGTAAAGCATTTGTTAAGACCCTCCAGCAACCATGCAATGGGCTATAATACAATTTGACACAAAGCTATAAATAATAGTGGTTTTTGGCGGCTAGCATGCCATTAACAGAATGGTTTTGTTAATTTACCTTTGAGCATTCCCAAATTATTGGGTGGCAACTGGTCTCCTCCTCCTCAAATGCCTTTTAGTTTGGCATTGTTATAGACTTAAGAAAAGGGTTCTTCTTTAACAGACGTTCTCCACACATCGAACTTCAGCCTATTTGCATACACCTTAATCTTCTGCACTTTTTGACCCTTCTTGGTTTTGAAAATGCAAGATGCAGCTTAATGGTCAGCTCTCAGCACAGAACAAATGGCTGACTAGATCTAATGAACTGGTCCTGGATCAAGCCTGCCAGCCTGGGAAAGTAGGGAACGATTTGAAAGCGATGCTATAATGCATCCCAGGAATTCAAAGAAACAATCATTAAGTTGATGACACTCAATTTGTTTTTGTGTTTTTTTTTCATAGATCCACTGGTACCTTCCCAAGCCAGGCTGATGTTTAAAAGAGAGACTTTGGCCTTTTTAACTCATTGCTCCAATAGACCACTGCTACATACACACACTGCTGCCCCTTAACACCCTTTAGGGACAAATCCTGCTGCTTTTTTTTTTTAGTGAGCCTACTCAAGGGAAGTTAGCAGGTCCAGCCTTAAGAAAGCAGCTCTCCACAGGACTTGTTTACCACGCCAACAATATTTAATTCAAACCTTTTTGCTTGGTGTCTTTATTTTAACCATTGGCTAATGACCTGCATTTTGGGAAGAAGGTCTAGTCCTTACTTTCAAAGGACCAGGTTTTCTTTGCCTTTTTGTCCACGTGCTGCTATATAGAATCTATCTGCATAACCCTTCCTCCCCTTTCTACCTGGATAGAACGGCTTCTTGCTGAACACCAGAAGCAAGCAAGCAAGCCTTGGCAAAAGTCAGGATAGCTCAAATGCAAGATGGCACAATCCTGCGCGCGGCAGCTTTTCTCATGGAAAAGAGGCAAGGGTAGGGGGCTATTTATGTATTGGCCATTTGGGAGAGGGTGGTGCTCAAACCCCACCTGGAATGAATTGAAACTGAGAGGCATTTTAAACTACTCTGCTATTTCCTCCACTCTGTTTTGTGAAATCACAAAGAAACATGGCACCAAACTTCTCATGTCTCTCCTTAGCGGTACTCACATGAACGCTGACAGTGGTAACTGACGGCATGATATTTAGGTGTAGTTGGAATGACGGACAGTCCTCTTAAAGACCTAAGATACTTTACAAATGACACAGCTTATTAACAATAGACACACAGAGTGATGTAGCCAGGATGTTGCAACAATATTCTGAAATGTTTTTTTTGTTTTTGCCTGAATCCTTGTTTTGAACACACACCATTTACTTGGTCAAGTAAGGCATAAATGACAAATCTTCATTCATCGAAGTCAACGGTCTATGGAAAGTGGATCAAGTTAAAGGCGATTTCCCCCTAACTTCATGAGGTATGGGCACATTACAGGTTATATATCTGAAACTCTATAATTTAACATCTTTTTTTCTCAAAAAAAAAAAAAAAATCTGAAAATAAAAGGGCCTATGCCCATTTTATTGAATATTAAGGTGGCTATACATCTCATTAATATTAAGGATACAAAAGTTGGTTGTGTCTTTATATACCTGAAACTTTTTGCCTTGATTTGTAAAAATATAACAAAGAGGAATAGGGTCGTGTACTGATTCTTTGGCATAATTCAATCTGTAACTTTGCACAGACTGTAATTGACAGTAATGTGCCTCCGATTTCACAGTGGGCCACTTGCGGGTTATAATCTGTTCCAGAAATGCATCTGTTTACCAAACCCGCTATACTGTGTAAAAGATGCACTGAAACAGTGGATAAACAATCACTGTTCTAACGCTATTTAGTGAAAACAACACTTGAATTTTTCTAACTCTGGTCTTGTTCATTCTACTGCAGAAACTGATGTAGGTTTTAAAAATACAACACTGATTTATTCCCTTCTTAGGAGAAATCTGTTTAAAAATTCTCTCAGACAGACTAATATGTTATAGGCCTGATTTCCAGAAGTGGTTAGGATTGGCCTAACTCTGCTTTACCACAATCCAATGTGGAGTTTCACCAGTGATCCCAATGGAAACAGAGTCAGGCAAGCTGTGAGCCTTTTGAAAATTCAACTCTCCAAAGGTAACTCAAGCAGATGTAAACTGAGCTGCAAACTCTAACAGCATTTGGATCCGGGTTTCAGTTCAGGACCAAATTTAACTTTACCAGCTCTCCCTTGGGAAAGATTTGACCATCTTTAATGTCGAGGCACATTGGCAACGGATGGAATTTCCAAAAGTGCTGAACTATTTAGGCGCACAAGTCCCCCTTGCAAGGCATGAATCTTGCACAGCTGAATGTTTTAAAGTGCCTGCGTCTACTGAAATCAGCGTGTAACTTCATTGGGCTCAGACTGTCTCTCGTGCCAGCACAGTGATCAATCACTCTCTCTGCTATAGCATTACACTTGCAATGCAACTGTTCAGGCTGAAGCCTCTCCTGGTACGTCTGGATCTAGACATGTACTAGAGTGCGTGGTGATGCTGTTCCACTGTAGCCAGAGACATCCTGAGACTGGGCTTTTGACTGTTACAGACCTAGGACAGATCCTCAGCTGGTTTAAATTGTCATAGCTCCTTAGCCCAGCAGAGGAGGTATAAGTATTGTGCCACTGCTACACACTTTCAGCCTGAGACGGAGATGAATGCTGCAGAAAGTCGGGAACCCGCAAATGACAGAGAGGGCTATTGCATGTTTACACGGGGAAATTCAGGCTGCAATCAAATACAGACTAGTTCAACAAAACACACTGTGTTCCTCAGGCACGGTGCTGTTACCTGCATGAGAATTCATGATGTTCCGGATTCTATTTTTCAAAAGGACCGTGGTCCTCCTAAGATCAGCCCTAAGCCTTTCTGAAAAGTCAGGTGCGTGAACTGCAGGGCATTCACGTGTATTCAGGAGGGGCCACAGCAAACAGGGTCCTCCTCACGCATATGCAAAATATGCAGCTGTGCAGGGTGCTACTCAGTTTGGGGCACCAGGTGCCCTAGGCAGATGCATGCTGCATATGTGGGGACCCGGGGTTCAGGGCCGGCAGCGGAGGCCCATGTGGCAGCCGGGGCCCCAGGTGTGGGTCTGGCAGCAGCTGCGACCCGATGTAAAATGTGGGGGTGCTGCAACACCCTCCAGTTCCTGCATCTATGCCTTCTTGTCCCTCCAGAGCCTTGAGTGCAGCACCCCCCACCACCCTCTGGAGCAGCCATTTTATTCCCCCACTGCCTCCATGTAGGGCACCAGAAACCGAAAGGACAGCCCTGACAGTAAAGCCCCATTCCAGTCAGTTTGCCTGTTGCAGATTCCTGCACTTGCTCCATTGAACGGACCATCGCTCCAGGTGCGGGAATGCCTGAGCAGGAGATCCAACCATATGAGAAGGGGCTTAATTTCCCATGCATTCAACCTCATACCAAGACCTGACTAACCTGAAAGTGTAAACTCTATAGGGCCAGCTTCTGCCACCCTGGAGTACTTGCAGTGTAAGGTGCTAACTACTTGGTGTGGGGAAAGGTAGCAGACACGTAACCCTGATAGCTGGATCCTCTTTTTATTACAATTATTCATATTGTGGTAGGACCCCCTATTATGCTAGGCACTGTACAAACACGGAACAAAAAGCTAGCTCCTACCCTACAGAGACTGCAATCTTTCTGGCCCAGCATCAGCATCTCACTAACTATACATTTCACACTAAGCAAACGTAGTGGTTAGCTGAGTTGGGGTGGATTTAATAACAAATGTAACTTTAAGCACCTACTCAAGGGCTTTGGCCGCTGAAAACTGATTGATCTGAAAAAGACCAATGTCACAGAAATGCTAGCAAGGGCTATCGTTAAGTTTAACGATCAACACCTGTCATGTTTTGAGATGTCTGACCAGGATTTTTCTGAGTAAGCTGGCTAGCGTCTCTGGTTCTAGGAGGCCTGGTATTTTTAGTCTCTTCAACAGCATGCTTTTTAACATGGTTCTAGATAATGTGATGGGCAGTCATTAAACAGGCAAAAATACTCTTGGGAGCTGGTGCATCCTTTCACATATCCTAGGTGAGCGCCACAACATTTGCTTTCCTAAGATCCTGGTCCAGTGCACACAGAATTCGACTTCAGTGGGCGTTGAATTGGGCCGTAAGTCTGCTAGCCCGGGGAGTTTCAGTCAAGCACAAAATATGCCAAGTGTGTTAAGGGTCTGATAGGCCAAAATATGACTCCAAAAATCCCTTCTGTATCTCAAACATGTAGCTGCATAATATCTGGAGACTAGGATAGGCTAGAATGCCAAAAAGAAAAAAAAAGTGTTTTGCCTCAAAATACAAACTGAGCGTAACAAGGACTATCAAACACAAACCTCCTCAGCTCGAGGTGGAAAATTTTGTTTGTTTTAAAAGTCTAGTATAAATCTCTGGGCTATTTACTACATTACATGGAAGATGCACTTAAAACATCATCTGAAGTGACAGTGCAAGAAATGCTTCGTCCCACAGTCAGCACTAAGCCCGTGTTCCTCTCTGTCCACATTCACTTATTTTCAATCAGCGTTTGCACTTTATAGACGAGGTCTCTTGCAATTTTCAGGATTTCCTGGGCATTGTGATGCTCCGCCATTTCTACAAGAAAGACAGACACAGATTTGTAACTGCATGACTCCCGCAAGCCACCGAGAGTTTCTCACACACACAGCAATCAAACATGCTGCGTGACTACTGACTTGCAGATTTAACTAGGTAGGAAAGCTCCAGGATTAATCCTTTGGGGCTAATGGTCCTGAGATTCCCCCCATGGTAACAAGCCCTTTTGTTTCCGTTTTATTGCTGGGAAAATTCCAACTCCTTCCAGTCAAGGGGACGGGAGGTGGACTAGGATAGTTCGGTACTTACATGATTTACAGTGCCAGCTACTTTCAATCTGGTAGGCACATGTACACTTATTGTAGGGACCAATTAATTTGGGGTTGTGGAAGTATTACATTTTCCAGCACATTACAGTATTACATTTTCCAGGAATGAAACAGACCACTGGCTGCTTTATTGTTGAAAATATAGTTTAACGGTACCACAGAACTGCTCCCGAGCTCACAAACTTGCTTGCTAATTAATAAATCTCCTGAATTCAGTCTCAGAATGCATCTACGCAGCAGGGCTTAACTCAAAATAAGCTACGCAAATTGAGCTACGTCAACTGTGTAGCTTATTTCGGAATTGGGAGCGTTTACACAGCACTTATTTCGAAATAGCGCCCTCTTCCTCCGACTTCCCTTACTCCCCGTACAATGAGGGTTACAGGAGTCAGAGTAAGAAGTCCTCCAGCTTGATGGTATTTCAACATTGTTTCGAAATAACTGCTGGCTGTGAAGATGGGGACTAAGTTATTTCAAAATAACGCTAGTTATTTCAAAATAATGTTGCTGTGTAGCTGCACCTTCAGAGGGGTAGCTGTGTTTGGCTGTAACTTTAAACACAACGAGCAGTTCTGTGGCACCTTAGAAACTAACACATTTATTGGGTCATGAGCTTTCATGGGTAAAAATGAAGTGGGTTTTACTCACAAAAGCTCATAACCTAATACATTTGTTAGTCTCTACGGGTGCGTCTAGACTACATGGCTCCATCGACGAAGCCATGTAAAGTAGTTTACTCGACATAGTCATTTAAATAATCCCTGCTTTATTAAAATAAAAATGGCAGTTGCGTTGTGCCGACAATCAGCTGATCCGGCACAGCGCGGCAGTCCAGATGCGGCGCGGTCGACAAGGGAAGCCTTTGTCGACTGCTCCGGTAAATCCCCACTTCATTGACTATGTCGAGTAAACTACTTTACATGGCTTCGTCAACAGAGCCATGTAGTCTAGAGGCACCCCAAGCTTTTGCTCCAGATCATAACCTCCTCCTTTACTCCAACTTCCTCTCAGAACCCACACCCTCTCCTACAGCCCACTCCTATATCCCAAGCTCCCTTCTACACCCCACCCGCCGTCCCAGACCTGGCGCCTCTGCATAGAAGTGCGGCCCTTGTCCACTTACCAAATTTACAAGGACATTGGAATAGCATACCCATTATATTTTGAAATAACGGACATGCTCAACAGATGCAGAATAGCTATTTCAGGATATTTCCAGTATCCCAAAATAGCGTAGACGTAGTCTAAGCTGCCACAGGACTCCTCATTGTTTCTACTGAATTTAATGAGATTCTAACACGTGTGCTGGTGGGGTTAGAACCTAAATGAAGAAGCAAATCTCCAAGAGAGGGCATGGATGTATCAGACTGAGGCTGATGAAAGTAAGTGAAGGGTTGTGTACATGGGAAAAGTGTCTGGAATACCTTTATTGCAGCATACCACAAACAGCTGTTCCTGAATCATTCCCCATCTGGACACACTTATTCTGGTCTAGGGGGTCTTTTTCCAGTTTAGCTTAATCCATCTAAAGCAGATAAAGGCCAGGTCTACACTGAAGGAGAAGATCAAATCAAGATACACAACTCCAGCTACGTTAATTACTTAGCTGGAGTTGACATACCTTGTTTCGAGTTTCCGCGCCATCCCCACCATGGGAGACTGATGGGAGCAAAGGTTCCCATCAGCTTTCTTTACACCTCACAAAAGAATGAGAACTGGCTGCTGATGGGGGTACCCTCTGAGTTCGATTTAGTGGGGTCTTATCTAGACCTGCTAAATCAAATGCTGGAGGATCAAGCACGGGCAGCTCTTCCGCTTAGTGAAGACATGGCCTAAGCTACATTGCAACAGATAGCCTTATTCCTGAATCGATATGGCAGAACAACATAGGTCACAATCGCTATGCCAATCAATTTCCCTGCGTAGATGGAGAGGGTGGCCCAGGGAATACGACCTGCTGAAGCCGATATGAAACCAGATCTATGACTGAGCAGCATCACTGTAAATCTTTTAAAATACAGGTCCTGCACCCTCGGGACCTCCATGGTCCTGCACCCTCGGGACCACAATCCTAAGGTTGTCAGACCACAGAAGTCCGGACTATAGAGGTCCAACCTGTAGTTGAACGATTCATGGTGGGAGACAAGCTCTAAGCCTCCAATTCCGGAACATGCTAAACTTCAATAACATTTAACTTGTTTTCAGCAAAGCACCTAGATGCGAATTCCCCGGCAGATGTTGCTGCCTATCCTGCTGCCCTCCAGCTCTGTATTTAGGTGCTAGCAAAACAGACATATTGTACCATAGCAGGATTCCTTCAGAGCTGCCATGCAAAGACCCAATGTTGCAAATTCTCCAGAAGGTGAATCATTTGCTTTTCATGGGACACTCTGCATTAGGAAAGTTACACACATGCTTAAGCATTTGTAGGACCGGGACATACATGTGGAAAGCACTTGTGGCGATCTTAAACCGTACAACTGTCTTTCCAACCAACTCTTCAGTTCCAATGGTTCTGTAATGGAAGTCCCCTTCTAATATCATCTTTAAAACATTCTTGTACTGCCCAAAGGACAGAAGTTGTATTGGACCTTTTTTGAACAAAAAAGGCAGAAGCTTGCGTTATGGAGCTTTGAAAACCCATCTTCTTCCATCACTCACTTTGTTCAAGATCTAGGGCCACTATAGAGGTGACGCATGTGCAACCACCACCAGGCGAATTTGAACGTGGGCTCTCTGAAGTGGAGTATAGGAGCCTCTACCCTCTGAGCTAAAAGCCAGCTAGCTCCCAGCCCCTGCTGTAGAGGTCTCTTAGTCTTAACTGTTGCTGTGGTCTAGGTACCACTCGCATTGCTCAGTAACCACACTAGGGGCTGTGTCTACACTGGTGCGATCTTGTGCAAAAGCAGCCGCTCTTGCGCAAAAACTTGCTGCCTGGCTACACTGGCCGCGTGTTCTTGCGCAAGTAAACTGACGTTCTAATGTATGAAATCAGGGCTTCTTGCGCCAGAACTCTGACGCTTCTGCTCAGGAATAAGCCCTTTTCCGCAACTGTTCTTGCGCAAGAGGCCAGTGTAGCCAGGCAACATGAATTTCTTGCGCAAGAAAGCCTGATGGTTAAAATGGCCATCGGAGCTTTCTTGTGCAAGAGAGCGTCTACACTGGCAAGGATGCTCTTGTGCAAAAGCACATGCCAGTGTAGACGCGCTCTTCTGGAAAAGTTTTTGCACAAGAACTCTTCTGCAAAAGAGTTCTTGCGCAAGAAGCTGCCAGTGTAGACGTAGCCTAGAGGTGTGTGGGTTTCATATTTCCCCTAGGTGAGGAAGCATGTCCCGAGCTTCAGAGACCCAGTTGAGATCCCGGACGAGCCCCCACTTGCAACCACCACCAGGCGGATTTGAACTTGGGATCTCTGAAGCGGAGTACAGGAGCCTCTACCCTCTGAACTAAAAGCCACCTGGCTCCCAGCCCCTGCTGTAGAGGTCTCTTAGTCTTAACTGTTGCTGTGGTCTAGGTACCACTTGCATTGAGCTTCTACAGTAACCACGCTAGGTGTGTGGGTTACCCACATATAAACCCTGTAGCCAAGAGTGAGGCGTGAGTTTGAAAGCCTCTGTTATTTGAGTGCTCCCCCTTGAAACACATTTTTTTCTCAAAAGTCCTGCTTTCAAATACTGCAAAATACCCACCCTCTGGAAAACAGGCCCGTTATCTTATATCCGTGGGCGGCAGGTATAAGAGGCAGGGGAAGGCAATGCCTTTCCAAACTGCCTGACTGACTAGCCCTGCCCACACTCCACCCCTAACTCCCCCCATTCAGCTTGGCTCCGTCTCCTGGAGCTACCTAGGCTTCAGTCCTGTGCTGCCAGCCCTCCTGGTGCATCAGGGCCAGGGAGGTGGGAGAGAGCAATGTACTGCCTGCCCTTCCTGTGATGGGGCGGGAGGAAGAATAGAGAGGGGAGGGCAGGTTGCCTGTACTCTGGGGGCAGAGGGTGGGAAGGGCCAGGGCCATAGGCTGCCTTTGCTCTGGGGTGGGGAGAGCCCTGCAGGGGCGGGAGGATGGGGGCACAGCCAGGGTCACGTGCTCAAAGTGGGGGCTGCACAACTCCTACAGGGGGAGGGGCATGGGAAGCAGGGTGGGTGCTTGCCTCCCCCCACTGCTCAGACTCAAATGTGTTGGTACCCAGCATCACTAGTCACTTGAAATTCTCGGCCTATTGCACCCACCCGGAGCTTAAAAAAAACCCCAACCAGACAGTAATGGAGAGGGAGTACGGAGAGGGCAAAGGTTCTGTTTCAGGTCTTTTAAAAGTAATTTATTTTTAAAAAGCACCTCTTACCATTAAAAAACTTGATAATATCAGTGAAGTCCATGTTGTTATCACGGATAATCTCTCGATAGACCTCCACTAATGCTAAGGCAATGAAAAGGACAAAATGTTCTGAAGAGATGTGCTTTGCTGCCCAAATAACTTCCCACACTGTAAATACATCCTCGTACAACAATTCTGAATGGGAATAAACATTACAAAGAGCATCTGATTATTCAAACTGACCATTTCTTTTTCTCAAAGGACATGTTTTTCCTAGTGCCTTAGCCTGAGGTAAAACAGTATTCAAAGCTTTTGGGCCAGATTCTGACGCTTACATGAATACTGCTGGCAAAGCCCAGTCCCTAGTGGTTATACAGGCTCGTTGGGCTGTCAAACAATACACTTAACTTTTTTTCCTATAAATAGGAAAAATCTTCTGGATTGAAAAATGAAATGAAACAGCTCCCTTCTGGGAAGCACACTGGGGCTGGGAACCAGGAACTGACTAGGCCCAGTGTGTGTCCTGACTAAAAAGCAAATTATAACCAGCGGGGGGGGGCGGTTCTGGGAGCAAATTACATTGGTTCATAGATTATGAAGGCAGTGAGCTAGTAATTTCACAAGACATACACAATAAATACAGATCACAGTGCAGGCATGGAATAACAGACATGAGTTGGCCACTATGTGTCTGCCCCCAATGACCTGGAGACCAATCCGAGCCAGCAAGACACAAAGGCTGTGTCTACACTGGGCCACTTATTCCGGAAAATCAGCCGCTTTTCCGGAATAAGCTGCGAGCTGTCTACACTGGCCCTTGAATTTCCGGAAAAGCAACAACGCTCTACTGTACAAAATCAGCCACTATTCCGGAAAAACTATTCTGCTCCCGCTCGGGCATAAGTCCTTATTCCGGAACACTGTTCCGGAAAAGGGCCAGTGTAGACAGCCCAGTAGTCTTTTCCGGAAAAAAGCCCCGATCGCGAAAATGGCGATCGGGGCTCTTTTCCGGAAAAGCGCGTCTACATTGACCACAGACACTTTTCCGGAAAAAGGGCTTTTCCGGAAAAGCAGCCTGCCAATGTAGACGCTCCTTTTCCGGAAAAACTGAAAACGGAATAGTATTCCGTTTTAAGCAGTTCCGGAAATTCATGCCAGTGTAGACACAGCCAAAGAAGTAAGTTACTCTGAGGCTGAGAGATGAAGTGACTTGTCCTCCCACACAGGCCAAGGGCAGAGCTGGACTCAGACTCTCCAGTTTCCCTTGACTCAGTCTTGTCCATTAGATGCTAGAGGCCAGATTTGTGAAGGCAATTTGAGGCCTAGTCAGATTTTCAAAAGGATCTAGATGCCCAATTCCCATTCATTTCAATGGGCGTTCGGCATCTAGGTGTTTCTGAAAAATCCCACGAGGTGTTTAAATACCTGTTAAAAATCCGGCCCTAGGTTCATTAGAATCATCTCTGGCTTTGTTTTATGGACAACGTGGAGCACCACCAGGCCTTAGTTTTTTATGGAGGCTTCTAATCATAAATAAGAAACAGCCTCTCTTCCATGAGGGTTTGAAAGCACCTGTCGGCTGCAGTAGTGGGTAGTGCCATATAAAGGGCACAGCAATTGGTCCAGCAAAGATGGTGAGGAACAAGCCGTAAAGGATTCATTGCTGTGTCTGTACTTTGCTGACCTGCAAATCGCTGCTTGGGGGTGATGCAGTGGTGGAGACAGGCAACGATACTTAAATCGGACACAGAAATGGATCCCTAAGGGTCCAGAAGCCAAATTAGTGACCAGCATGACCCCAAAGAGCCACAGTCGTGTGAATTCACTATTGTTTCATTTACTCTAGTGCTATATAGTCACCGTTAAACAGTATGATGGGGTAATAGTTAATTCTTGTATATATTATTCTGACTGTAAAATGACCAAGTACAGTAAAAGCTTTGTTATCCAGCAGGCTGTTAACCAGAAAAATCTGTTAACCGGCATTGCCCCCAGCTGTTTAACAAACTCTGAAACTAACAAAGGGCTGTGGTTCCCCCCTGAATGCAGGCTAACAAAGCGTTCACTGTATCTTTTATCTTTTATCAACTACAACTGGTTAATAACATAGTAAAACCATCTGGATTGGTTAACAACTTGGATTGATTAATAATGAAATCACACAGTGTTTTAATATCACATGCCACACAGCGCCGCAGAAGACACATTAAAAAACCACTTGCCATTACGAGCCTTGCTCTGAGACTCACCAGTCTCCAGTGTGTGTTTTGCTGTGGCGCTCTTTGGAGGAGCGGGAGGAAGGTTTGGGGTCCCATCAGATTTCCCTTCCCCGCCCACCATCTGACAGATGGTCAAGAGAGAGAACCCGCAGACGAGTTCTTGGTTTTTCTCCTCCTCCATCTCTCAGCTGCAAGACCTGCACTTACAGCATGTGCACATCCGGTCTTTTCATAGCTGACATTAACATCGTTGACGTTAACGTGTCTTCAAGCCGCTGGGGAAAGCTGGTGTGTGTGTTTAAATGAACTGTGGACTTGTTCTAGAACAAGTCGTGTTTCTTGAGTTGTAGTGATTGGTTCAATGCGCATCTCTTTAATGGTGAGAGAGGACATCTTGGTATTTGGGACTATATATAATACAGTACCACCTACAGGACCCAACCAAGTCTGGGTTGTGCCAGGCACTTTATACTGTCTTCAGAGCTATTGATCTGCTGCTGATTTGTTAGAAGGCAAATTTCCACATTGGCTTGCCAAACGGCGCCATGTCAACATCAGATATTGTGCCGGTAACCAGTTCAGTTGCCTGGGCAAATACATAGAGAGCCCTGCATGGATACAAAATTGGTATCCGCATCCCGTCTGCAAATATGATCAATGGAACCCACCTCCATGGCTGCGGATACCTGAGGAGATGAAGTGGATCTTTGCAAACGTGAAGAGTTTTAAACACAAAATTTGTATCCATAGCCACAGCTGCAAAAATGAGCTGTGGATGTGGATATAAAGTGGATATCTGCGAATTTGCAGGGCTCTACAAATGCATGCTTGGTCAGGAACAACAGGACCGACTCGGGGTAACCTTCTTTTCGAAACTTTTGACTTCCTTCCAGCCTGTGAATGTATGACGTTTGCCATTGTCAGTTGTATGTAGGGTCTTTGGCTTGGCCCCGGTGGCCTCTATTTACCATTGCTACACTTAAAACCAAAACCACTGGTGGCTCACTGCATTACACAACACCGGAGTCAGGCTCTGAGAGTTATTACCTCTTTTAAAATCAAGCAGGAACCAACGATAACAGAAATAAAAGTGGGTGTAGTCTCCATTTTGGTGCATCAGCTCAAAGAGCTCACAGTCGAGAATCTGAAAAACAAACCCAAACCATTAAACTTCAGTATCCTGCCTCCACTAGCGCTGGTATCACATGCTCCAAGGAGATCCTCTGTGCTCCCAGCCAGCCTCACCAGGCTGCTAGAGACGCTCCTTAGCTGCTCTACCTCACTACTGCTGTGAGGGCAGTAGGTGACCTCAAAGCAGTGGTTCTCCACTCCAGTCTCCCTTCTGCGATGTGACCCTACAGCAGAGTCAGGAGAGGAAGATGGCTGGGGTAGGAGGTTACCTCCACCAGCTTTGTAACAGCTGAGAGTTTCCCAACATCAGGGGAACTCTCCCCTGGCCACCCCCAACCAGAAGACAGCCGCTCTTGTTGGGCTAGGGAATCCAGCCCTTAGACTCTGAGCGGTGTTGCTGGAAGAGGAACAAAATCTTTGCTTGTGAGTGCACAGAAAAGCTGGGCTGGAAAGTGTATGGAGCGGCGGATACACCTCTGGGGCTAGATCCTCAGCTGGTGTAAACTGGCCAAGTTCCACGGAAGGAGACAGCAATGCTGATTAACCCAGCTGCCCATGCTTAGCTGAGTTCCCACCAGTGAACGTGCAGGGGGTGGCAGTCTCTACAATGGTTCTGACGGCACTTCAAAAACCCGGTGCCAAAGCATCCATCTGGCATAGCCTGCCTGTCCTCCCACGCCGACTCCTCATCTCCCCTTACGTGGGGGCGGGAGGAGAGGCAGATACAGCAGGGCATAAGAAGTCAGGATTCCAGACTTTCCTTGCCACCGAGTGTCCTTGAACATGTCACTTAAGTTCTCTGCACCTCAGTCTCCCCATCTATACAACGAGGATTGCCCCTACTTCCTGTGCAGGGAGCGGAGGCATATGCAAGTTCATATTTGTAGAGCTCTTTAAGATCTGAGGCAGAGGGGAAGCTCCGTTCACTGTCTGCAGCATACTAAAGTCACATTTTGAAAAATCTCTCCCCCTGCCACGGCCTGAGTTCTTGGCAGCCCATATACTTCACCCCTGCCATAGCTTTGGGAGGTCTAAGCAGTGGTTAATCTTTGCAGCACTGTAAAGCACAGGAGCTAAGCCTGGGTCCCAAAACTGGTTGCAGATGTAAACATGGGGTAGCCACTGCTTGAATGTCAGGCACTCTGCACACTGCAGCATCTAATGGCCACTAGTGTGTGCTCCCACACTGATAGAAATAACCGATCCAGAAAAGGTATGAACTGGCACAAATCAGGACGTGTGTTACAACATCAATTGCCAGCCCTGGACACTCTTTTGGTACATTTATTTGTGCTGCGCCTAAGAGGGCGGGATCGACAATACATATAACAGATCTCTACCAGCCTGCAGTGGGGTCTGAGTTTTCAAAGATGCTAATGATGTGTCCAAGCCTGCAAGCCTGACCCACGTGAACAGTCCTACTGACTTCCACAGTTACTCACTGGACTTCTAGAAGTTGCTGCATTTTGTTATGTGGCGTCATCTGCACATACAGTTCACAGTCTAACTCCCTGCTCCTGTGGAAGAGGCATACAATGAAAGTACCTCTCACCAGATGTCAGGTGGATGTCTCCAAAAATAAAACGTGTAAGTGAATCACTCTGACAGACCTTGGAAGACAGACCAGTCCTCGTTTACAGACAGCCCCTCAGCCTGAAGCAAATACTCACCAGCTACACACTACACCACAGAAACACTAACCCAGGAACCAATCCCTGCAGCAAACCCGCTTGCCAACGCTGCCTGCATACCTACTCAAGCAACACCATCATAGAACCTAACCACATCAGCCATCAAGGGCTCATCCACCTGCACGTCTGCTAATGGGACACACAGCATCACGGGCCAGCAACGCCCTCTGCCATGTTCATTGGTCCAACCAGACAGTCTCTACACAAAAGAATAAATGGCCACAAACCAGACATCAAGAACCTCCAAAAACTAATCGGAGAGCACTTCAGTCTCCTTGGACACTCAGTAAGAGATTTACAAGTGGCCAACCTTCAACGCAAACACTGTAAACAGACTTCAGAGAGAAACTGCAGAGCTGCAATTCACTTGCAAACTTGACATTGTTCACCTGGGTTTGAATAGGGACTGGGAATGGCCAGCTCTCTACAAAAGCAATTTTCCTTCTCTTGGTATTCACATCTCCTCAGCAACATCCACCCTGACTAAACTGGCCTAGTTAGTACTGGTCCCCCACTTGATAAGGTAACTCTCTTCTGCTCATGTGCTAGGATAGTTATACTGCCTCTGTGATTTCCACTCCAGTGCATCTGAGGAAGTGGGTGTTCGCCCGCAAAAGCATATGCCCTAATAAACCGGCTAGTCTTTAAGATGCCACAGGACTCCTCATTGTTTTTACATTGAAATGATTTTTCCCAAAGGCCATTTGATGGAGTAGGGCGTGAGTGCCCTTTGCACTATGACATCCGCCTCGGTTCTGAAAGGAGTTGCTCTTTCTATGAAGCAAAACTGTGGCCACACCCTGCTAGTATCACCTCACTTAAAGACAACTCGCTTATAAAACCAGACAGAAAAATACACAAATGTCGCCCCATGCTCTTACTGAAAAATGGCCGACTTTCTCATTTTTCCTATATAGTTATAAAATAAACCAAGGGCTTGACAAACTGTGGCGAGAGCTACTCGGTAGCCCTGCACAGAGCATGCGCCAGACTGGCATTGTGCATGCGTGCAGCGCTGGTAAATGGGGTGCACGGAGCGACCGCCTGAAATCTACTTGCCACGGGCAAATAGAATCAGCAGTTTGTCAAGCCCTGCCAATAGGAATATAAATATTGTACTTCCATGTCAGGGTGTGGGATATAGAGCAATGCAAACAATTATCTGTATGACACTGTAGTTTGCACTGACTTCACTAGAGCTTTTCATGTGGCCTAGGCAAATATCTAGAATCTGAAGTGAAGTACGCCCCTCCCCCCAGTAAGACCACTGTTTGTCCCTGGTTGAGAGTTACTGAACTAGTTTCTCCACCTCCCTCCCTCCCCCGGTGCCACAGATGAATGATAAAAAAAGCTACCAGAGGAGAAGCTGTTCTGGATTTGGTTTTAACAAATAGGGAGGAACTAGTTGAGAACTTGAAAGTGGAAGACAGTATAGGGGACAGTGATCACGAAATAATAGAGTTCATGATCTTAAGGAAAGGTAGAAGGGAGACCAGCACAATTGAGGTAATGGATTTCAGGAAGGCAGATTTTGATAAGCTCAGAGAACTTGTAGGTAAGGTCCCATGGGAAGCAAGACTGAAGGAAAAAACAACTGAGGAGAGTTGGAAGTATTTCAAAGGGACGTTGTTAAGGGCCCAAAAGCAAACAATTCCGCTGTGTAGGAAAGATAGAAAATATGGCAAAAGACCAGCTTGGCTTAACAAGGAGATCTTGCACGATCTCAAAATAAAAAAGGAGTCATATAAAAAATGGAAACTAGGACAAATAACAAAGGATGAATATAGGCAAGCAACACGGGAATGCAGGGGCAAGATTAGAAAGGCAAAGGCACAAAATGAGATCAAACTAGCTACAGGCATAAAGGGAAACAAGAAGACCTTTTATAAATACATTAAAAGCAAGAGGAAGACCAAGGACAGGGTAGGCCCACTGCTTAGCGAGGAGGGAGAAGCAGTAACAGGGAACTTGGAAATGGCGGAGATGCTCAATGACTTCTTTGTTTCGGTCTTCACCGAGAAGTCTGGAGGTGTGCCTAACGTAGTGAATACAAGCAGAGAGAGGGTAAGTTTAGAAGATAGGATACACAAAGAACAAGTTAAAAATCACTTAGGAAAGTTAGATGTCAGCAAGTCACCAGGTCCTGATGAAATGCATCCCAGGATACTCAAGGAGCTGATAGAGGAGGTATCTGAGCCTTTAGCTATGATCTTTGAAAAATCATGGCAGACAGGGGAGATTCCAGAAGACTGGAAAAGGGCAAATATTGTGCCCATCTATAAAAAGGGGAATAAGAACAACCCAGGAAACTACAGACCGGTCAGTTTAACGTCTGTCCCAGGGAAGATAATGGAGCAGGTAATTAAGGAAATCATATGCAAACACTTGGAAGGTAATAAAGTGATAGGGAATAGCCAGCATGGGTTTGTGAAGAACAAGTCATGCCAAACTAATCTGATAGCTTTCTTTGATAAGATAACGAGCCTTGTGGATAAGGGAGAAGCGGTGGATGTCATATACCTAGACTTTAGTAAGGCATTTGATACGGTCTCGCATGATATTCTTATTGATAAACTAGGCAAATATAACTTAGATAGGGCCACGATAAGGTGGGTGCATAATTGGCTGGATAACCGTAGTCAGAGAGTTGTTGTTAACGGTTCTAAATCCTGCTGGAAAGGGATAACAAGTGGAGTTCCTCAAGGGTCTGTTTTGGGACCCATACTGTTCAACATCTTCATCAATGATGTAGATATTGGGATAGAGAGTACGCTTATTAAGTTTGCAGATGATACCAAACTGGGTGGGGTTGCAACTTCTTTGGAGGATAGGGACATAATTCAAAATGACCTTAGCAAGTTAGAGAAATGGTCAGAGGTAAACAGGATGAGGTTTAATAAAGAGAAATGCAAAGTGCTCCACTTAGGAAGGAACAATCAGTTCCATACATACAAGATGGGAAGCGACTGTCTAGGAAGGAGCATGGCAGAAAGGGATCTAGGGGTCATAGTGGACCACAAGTTGAATATGAGTCAACAGTGTGATGCTGTTGCAAAAAAAGCAAATATGATTCTAGGTTGTATCAACAGGTGTGTTGTAAGCAAAACTCGTGAAGTCATTCTGCCGCTCTACTCTGCACTAGTTAGGCCTCAGCTGGAGTACTGTGTCCAGTTCTGGGCGCCACATTTCAAGAAAGATGTGGAGAAATTGGAAAGGGTACAGAGAAGAGCAACAAGAATGATTAAAGGTTTAGAGAACATGACCTATGAAGCCAGGCTTCATGAACTGGGCTTGTTTAGTTTGGAAAAAAGAAGATTAAGGGGGGACATGATAGCGGTTTTCAAATATCTAAAAGGGTGTCACAAGGAGGAAGGAGAAAATTTGTTCCTCTTGGTTTCTGAGGACAGGACAAGGAGTAATGGGCTTAAAGTGCAGCAGGGGAGGTTTAGATTGGACATTAGGAAAAAATTCCTAACTGTCAGGGTGGTCAAATATTGGAATAAATTGCCAAGGGAGGTGGTGGAATCTCCCTCTCTGGAGATATTTAAGAACAGGTTAGATAGACATCTGTCAGGGATGGTGTAGGTGGAGCTTGGTCCTGCCTTGAGGGCGGGGGGCTGGACTCGATGACCTCTCGAGGTCCCTTCCAGTCCTATGATTCTATGATAAACAGAGACATCTAGTGGTGCTATAAAGTAACTTTCTATGATTAAACAACGAGAAGTCCTGTGGCACCTTATAGACCAGTGGTCCCCAACCTTTTGGGGCTGCCAGGCGCCCGGGGGCAGGACTGCTCATGCGCCGGGCATCCGGGGCTGCTCACACGCCACGCATCCCGGGCCGCTCACACGCCACGCATCCAGGGGCGGGGCCATGCACGTGCCACGCGCCCGGAAGCGGGGCCGCCCATGCGCTGCATGCCTGGGCTGGCATCGCGCATGTGCCGCGCGCCCAGGGCAAGGGCTGCCCATGCACCAGGGGCCGGTACTATGCATACGCCGCGCGCCAGGGGTGGGGCTGGCCCAGATCATTCGGTGGGTGCAAATAATGCCCTGGCGGGCGTCATGGCGCCCGCAGGCACCACATTGGGGACCGCTGTTATAGACTAACAGATTTATTGGAGCATCAGCTTTCGTGGGTGAAGACCCACTTCGTCACATGCATCTGACAAAGTGGGTCTTTGCCCACGAAAGTTTATGCTCCAATAAATCCGTTAGTCTATAAGGTGCCACAGGACTTCTTGTTGTTTATGCAGAGTCAGACTAACATGGCTACCCCCCCGATACTTCTTTCTATGATTAAGAAGCCACTCCCCTAAGATGCTATCAGCATATTGCTTACTTACGGTTTATGATCATTTAAGTACAGGTTGAACCTCCTCGTTCGGGACTCTCTGGTCCTGCAACATCTGTGGCCCGGCAGGAACATGGATGTTGCTGGACCAGAGGGCACCTGGACCAGAGAGCCCTAGGAGCCTAGCAGCTGGAGTCGAGCAAGGAGCGCAGCAGCCTGGTGGCCCTAGAAGAGCAAAACCCTGGGGCTTCGGCAGCCCTGAGGCAACGGGCCCCCGGCAGCAGTGGAGCCAGAACCCCAGCGGCAGGGGACAGGGGAGCCCTGCTGCTGTGGGGGGGAGCCCTCTGTGATGGACCCTGGAAGAGCCTAGAGTCTGTCAGCAGAGGGGTAGAACTGACCTCCTTTGGTCCAGTAAAGTCCCTCATTCGGGACTAGTCAGGTCCCGAGGGTGCCAGACCAGGGATGTCCAACCTGCACTACATGCAGGAGTGTTTAAAGGACTGAGGTCTCGAATGTAGATATAAATCGGTATGTCACAGCTAAATAGCTGTGTTTAGACATTTGTAGCACTGGAAGAGTTTAACTGGTTAAACTCAGTATCTGTTCACCCTTCCCGTACGCCGAATTTTAAAATGAGCACAGGGAAGATTAAAAAAATCTTTGCACAAATACACGGCTCAGATGGGGCTCAGAGGCGGCAGCTGGCTTCATTCCTGTAAACGCAATTGGAAGATCAGGCCTTCGTTTGTGGTCAAATCCGACACTCCATAAGACATGATAACTTATTCCTAGCGCAAACGTTGTCAGGGATCAATTTGAGTTAAAAACTGACTCTTCAATTATTTGAACAAGCAAATGGAAAGCCTATTTATGTGGTCAACAAAATCTACACCAATGATTATAGTTTCTAAGAAGTTAAATTATTAAAATCCAACAACCTTCCACTGATGTATTTATAACCAATTAGAATATAACACACATTAATGCTTATCGTGGCTAATAAACATTACTCTTTTGCCAACTACTTATAAAGGTAACCTTAATATAAAAATGTGATCCTTTATTTAATGTCACACGACTGTAGTTATATGACAACCTGTGTCTAATTCATGGTTAAAAAGCAAATATGATTCATTGTACCTGATAAAATCATAATGATTTATTACTATTTTTAATATTCATAATCTATTTATCCTGGAAAACTGAGAGAGTCCCAAACTGAGATTGGATACAGTCTGGGGTTTTTCGTTTGTTTGTCTTGTTCATTTTCCCCAAAGAGCTGTGATCGTCTTACATATAACTCAGCTACAAATGTGTGTGTGTGTGTGTGTGCGTGCGTATGTGTGTGTGTGTGTGTGTGTGTGTATCTGTTCTTCTCTCACACACACACACGCCTTGCTCAAGATACACACAATGAATCCGTGGCCCAGACAGCATTATATAAACCATGACAGCTCCGGGCTGTTCTTCGATCCCCACCCTGCCTTACACGTTCTCTGCTTGGCAGTGGAATGTTGGGCCTAAATAAATCACGCGACGATCATATCAAGAAGAGCCTGCCAAGAATACAGACAGAGCCCGTCCAAGTCCTGCGTGTGAGCTGAAAGGAAATTGAGCCTGCACTGGGGAAATTCATTGTTCTTTCCATCTCAATTGCTGCCCAGCTGCCTCCCATTGAATCCAGAGTCTTTTTTCCATTGATTCCAGCAACTGAATTGCCCATAGACCAGGGGTGGGCAAGAGGCGGCTAGCGGGCTGGATCTGGCCCAGCAAGCCGCCGGATCTGGCCCAGGGCCGCCTCGCCAGCACAGTTACTACAGAGCAGCTGCAGGCTCTTTAAACAGCAGCCTGCTAACTGCTATGCAGTCAGGGCAGGGAGGAGAAGCTTCCCATGCTGTCCCCGTCCCCTCGCAAAATCCCTCAGCTCCCATTGGCCAGTTTCCGGCCAACAGGAGCTGAGAAATTTTGCTGAAGGCAGCGGCAGCAAATGAAGTCTCCTCACTTCCCCACTCCCCTCTCCCGCTCCTTGTGCTGGAGCAGAGCCACATAGAGCAGCCCGCCCGGCACACAGGCAGGGAGCTTGCAGGGCTGCTGGCTGGGAGCCGCACCTCTGACACCCCACCTCCTCTCTCCCCTCTGACTACCTGCCCCAAGCCACCACCCAAACCCTCTGTATCCCCTCTGCCCACCTCCTGCAGATCACATCTCCCTCCCAGACCCTGCACTTTAAAGTCTGAATTCTGTAACTTTAACTGTTTAATCACCAGTTCTGCCCCAGGCCAGACTCCTCTTCTGCACCCAAGCACCTCCCTGGCCCTGCAACCCTCCTACACCCCTCCCCCAAGCCAGACTCCTGTCCTGTGTCCATAACCCCTCCTGGACCCTGCACCAGGTCATAATCCTCTCCTTCACCCAAATCCCCTCTCAGGCCCCACACTCCCTCCTGCACCTCAGTCCTCTATCCCAAGCTCCCTTCTACACCACACCCGCCAACTGAGACCCTGTTTCCCCTCCACAGAAGTGCAGCCCTTGACCATTTACCAAAATCTTGGAGTGACCCCCATTATAGGGTATTGCCCACCCCTGCCATAGACCAATGTCCCGGACTGTCATTCCTCTTCGTAGCTGGTGGGCAGCTCATGCATGTGCCTCTCTGAGCGGAGCTGTGCTCCCAAACATCCCTTCCTAACCACATAGGGCAGTCACCTGGGAATTGACCCGAGCAACCTCCCACTGGAGCTGTCCCCTCCTCCTTGCTTCATCAGGAAGAGTTTGCCCAAGAACAGGGCGTGTTTGAGCTAGCGGGACACAAAGGCTGATAGAAATATGCTCCCCTGAGCCGAACCCCAGCGCCACTCCAACGAGGACTCGCCTGGATCAGCGATCGCATGTTGGCGAAATGTGTGTCCATAGCACCCCCATTGGGGAAATTCTGGCTCATTCTCTTCATGAGGTGGCTGAAGCAGCTGTAGGCCAGTTGATCTGTGGATATAAAGAGGGTAGATTAGACGGCTGGAAAATCTGGAACTCCATGGTGGGCCCTGGAACAAAGTGAGGGGGGGTGGCTCTGTGATTCTGGAAGAGGTGGGGCCTTGGGCACAAGGGGCGGGCTCAGGGCAGCCAGCCCTCTGCGTGGCTCCTCCCCCCAGCCCTCAGAGCTGCACAGTGCGGTGCTCCAGTGGCGATTTAAAGGGCCTGCAGCTTTGGTCACCACTGCTGCTGCAATAGCAGGGGTGGTGGCCAGGAGCCTTCCGGGCCCTGAGGTAATTATTCCCTTTGCTCCCACTGCTGGCGGGCCGGGACCCATGTTTGCACCGCACGAGGCGATGCGCTGCAGGGTCAGGTGTTGGGGGAAGAGGGGCAGCTTGCTCCTCCTAAATCTGTTCATTCCCCGCGTGAGCAGTGCGGGGTGAAAACACGAGGTGGGACACTGGAGCCTCCCTTCTGACTGCAGAGCCTCTCTTACCAGTGGTGAGTGGAGGGACAGACGGAACCCAGCTAGATGGGCAGATCCCGTGTTGAGTGGGCAGCCCCTCCTCCCCCCGCAATAAGGATACTGTTAACTCTGGTGACACGTCAACTTTAGTGTGGGGAGAATAAACAGGGAAGCCCCTAGATGCCCTTGCGAGTCCCATCACCATGATCCTCTGAAACGTGGCACATTGTTTGAATCGGTGTATTCTAGGGATGTTACATTTTGCATCGACTATTGGCTTAGTCAATAGGGCGCCCCCGCCTTGGAAGTGTAGCAACAGCCCTAGGGTTCTTGCTACACTTCAAAGGTAAAAATGCCGCATGGAGCCCGGGGTCAGCTGGGGACTCCCCTACTGACTCTGGACTCCATGCAGCGCTGCCACTTTGAAACGCCAGGAGAAGCCCGGACTGCACACAGCGTTTCAAAGCAGCAATGCCGTGTGGAGCCTGGAGTTAGCTGGGGACTCTCCTGATGACCCCGGGCTGCGCTGCTGCTTTGAAACACCACATGCAGCCTAGGGACACCCCAGCGGACCCTGGGCTGCAAGCGGCATTTCAAAGTGGCAGCGCCACATGGAGCCCAGGGTCTGGCTCCAGGGTCCATGCAGTGCTGCCGCTTTGAAGTACCTTCCCCTTTACCACCCTCTTGCTGCCTCTTTCCGATAGAAACGACTAGTCCACTAGCCTGTCAACGATCTGATAAGCATAGTCAACTAGTTGTTCACATCCCTGGTGTATTTCATGTATCCTCATTGTAATCTGTAATGGGGGCAACATATTATGCAAGGAAAACTCAGCCCTCCTACCATTATCAAGTATAACCATGAGAGGAGCCAGTAGGTCACACATGCCTTGGACATATCCGACATCCAGGTGCTCCCAAACGTAACTGCACGAAGAAAAAAACAGAAGAGACACTAGCAAATGTAGTCTCTAAATCTTCTCTCTGATGGATTGTTTTTAGTCAATCCAAGACCCTGCTCCCATAAAAAGCCGTGTGTGCAGTGACAGCCTATAGAGCAATAATTCCTGTAATATTTTCCATGCATGCGTGGAATAAATTTTGTTATGTGCACCAAGGCTTGTGCAGGTGTGCACCACCAATACATGCTGCCAGCTGCAGGAGACTGTGGTGATCTGCTAATCAGCTGGGTGGCATTTGACTCGCTCCTGAGTGGCCGCCCAAGTGCTCACCTTCCAGGGAACACGCCTGTAGATGCAGTGGGTGAATTCCCTAAGGAGGGCGTCGATAGTGTTTATAGAAATCATCCTTAGAAACCTCTACAATTTAATAGTGAGCGAGATCCTCACTTACAGCTTTTTTGCACCAGCCTACAGAATTCTGTGGCAGGCGTAGAACTTTCTCCTACATTATACACAAGGCTCCAAAAATGCCCGATGAGGAGGTTTTCTGGGTGTTTCCCAGTTGCATTACAGCCCGCCTCCATGCCTGTTTTGTCACAAATACATCACACGGGATTGAAAGCTGGGGGGTACAGAGGGTCAGCAAGGTGAGTTATTCTCCTGCCCCACCTGAGGCAAAGATGAATTACCTATTGAGGGTATATCTACACTACCCGCCTAGTTCGAACTAGGAGGGTAATGTAGGCATACCGCACTTGCAAATGAAGCCCGGGAAATTCAAATCCCGGGCTTCATTTGCATAAGCGGGGCGCCACCATTTTTAAAACCCCGCTGGTTCGAACCCCGTACAGCGCGGCTACACGGGGTACGAACGAGCGGGGTTTTAAAAATGGCGGCTCCCCGCTTATGCAAATGAAGCCCGGGAAATTCAAATCCCGGGCTTCATTTGCATAAGCGGGGCGCCACCATTTTTAAAACCCCGCTGGTTCGAACCCCGTACAGCGCGGCTACACGGGGTACGAACGAGCGGGGTTTTAAAAATGGCGGCTCCCCGCTTATGCAAATGAAGCCCGGGAAATTCAAATCCCGGGCTTCATTTGCAAGTGCGGTATGCCTACATTACCCCGGTAGTTCGAACTAGCAAGGTAGTGTAGACATACCCTGAGATTTCTACAAAGCACACAGGGAGATATTTACCAAAGCCCACAACTGTTTTGGGGGAAAGAATAATCACTGGCTTCCAGTATGGCTTGTGCACCTAAATCTTAGGTGGCTTTGAAAAATCTCCCTTTGGCAGGGACTTTTTGCTATGGGGTGAAACACAAACTAGCAAATATAAAGGAGAAGCCTTCTCAAAAAGCCGGGGCGCTGAGAGCCATTGAAGCAAACTGTAAACCCCGTATGTGATGGAAGCCAAACCCGGGGGTGCAACAGCATCCATACGTCCCGCCCTTAGGGAGAGGCATGCATGTCTGGTAGTGGGATGGGGGGCCCAACTCAGATTCCAGCTTTCAGACTCTCGCCCCGGAGAAAACAGGTGACTAAGCAGACGTAGAGAACGGTAGAGAGTTTAAATGCCACCTGACCGGGGTGAATGTAGTTATATCAGCAGCAACTGGCACTGGCCACTGTCGGCAGACAGGAGACTGGGGTATGTCTACACTTGCAGCCTATTTCGGAACAGGGCTGCACATGTAGACATTCGGAATTGAAAATCAAGCCCCGGATTTAAATATCCCGCACTTGATTTGCATCTTCCCATCTGGAAGCCCTATTTCAATAAATAAAGCCCTATTTCAAACTATCTATTATTCCTCCTGCAATGAGGTTTAATGGGTAGTTCGAAATAGGGCTTTATTTCGAACGCCCGTTTCACTGCCGCATGTAGACGTGGGCAGTTATTCTGGGCTTGTAAATTTCAAAAAATGGCGCCCAGCCGGGAAGATGCAAATCAAGCGTGGGATATTTAAATCCCGGGCTTGATTTGCAATTCCGAATGTCTACATGTGCAGCCCTATTCCGAAATAGGCTGCAAGTGTAGACATACCCTGGGCTAGATGGACCTTTGGTCTGACCCAGTCTGGCTGTTCTTATGTTCCCAGTGGCATGCGGTACTGGCAGGGGGTTGATCTGAAAATGTAGCCTTCCCACTCCAATCAATTATCACATGAGTGTCTGAGCCACTCAGTTTCCACAAATCTTTGCCACACCCTTGTAAGCAGGGTAGTGTACTCTCCCTTTAATAGGTGGGGAACTGAGGACCAAAGAAGAATACAAAACGTGTCCAAGGTGGTACACAGTGTTTGAGGCCACGCTGGGACTATCTAGCCTACCTCCATCTTCTCTTTCTCTAGAAGCTTTTAGCCAGACCTCCCTGCCCGCTGGGAGAGGCACGTGGTATCGATTATTAACTCAGGGGAGCCGTAACGCCGCAAGGAGAAGCATGCTCTCTGCAAGCTGTTACCTGCACATGATGTTTCTGAGTTTCTCCAGGTTAGCGGCAGTAAAATACCAGTAATTCCGGTCACACCTCTGGACATCTTTATCGATTCTATGCAGATTTAAGGCAACTGTGTCCAGCAGTTCTATCTAGGATTTAAAACACCCCAGGGAGTCAGGTGAGCTGTTAAACAAAGGTGTTTCTGGATATGAACTGGCGTTAAGAAGCAGGAAGGTAGCGGGATCCAGCCACATGACTTCCCTTGACTCGCACCATGAAATGCTTTGAGATGAACAGGTGAAAGGGGCCTATACAAGCTCGATATTATTATTACCACCAAGAAGGCATTTGAAGCTGCAGCAGAACTTGCTTATCCAGCTACTTCGCTCACCATGACAGCCCTGGGGTTGAAGCCCAGGCAATTCTTGGCCTGAGCACGTTGCACTCTGGCAATTGTGTATAGTTGGGCCCTACCAAAGTCACAGTCCGTTATGGCCAATTTCACGGCTGTCACAATTGAACATTGGTAAATGTCACATCTTCAGCTTTTTAAACCTGACATTTCTCAGTGTTGTAACCATGGGGTCCTGACCCAAAAGGAGACTGGGGGCGTGTCACAAACCTGTTGTGGGAAGGGTCATGCCACCCTCTCACTTCTGTGCTGCCCTCAGAGCTGGACTCTCAAGGCAGCAACTGCAGAGTTTCCTGTAGCCACAGGAGGTTCCAAGAGGTAAAGGGGAGGGTCTTGTCTCGTGCCCCCTCCCACCACTACAAGTTTCCTCCAGCTGCAGCAATCTCAGGCCGCTTGCTGCCCAGTCTCAGACAGTGTCCTGCAGCAGGAGGAAGCACCCAGAGGTGCATTTGGTCTGATCCCCACCCCACCACCAGCATAGCAGGTTGCCAGCTGCTTCTGGGGTGCAGCACAGTCTGTGGTGCCAGGACAGGCAGGGAGCTGCCTTAGCGCCCCCACAGGTCACCTGATCCCCCTGCAGCAACAAGACTCGGTGTCTGATATTCCATCACCCTGTCCTGGGTGATGACCCTAAGTTTGAAAACCGTTGCATTAGGCATAGGCAGATTTGTCCTAGGATAGACAGTGACCTACTGTATAGGCAGCCATGCAGACAGAGCCAATGTCCTCGCTGGATGTTAAATAATCCAGCTGGGAGCACAGCTGTTCCTCCATTACAGGATCCTGAGACTCCAAGACAACCGCTTTGGCTTTCTGAGCCTGGGTCGGGTCCAGATCTGGTCTTTCTGAGTCCGTGTTCACATCTTCCTCAGCCCCATCCTCAAAGCTGACACTTTGCCCGTCATCGATGCTGGACAGGATGCCCGAAGCTACCGAGTAGTTCCGAGAAGAAGGCAGCCCCGAGTCGGGAGAATCAAATTCTACCGACTGCTGTTCAACCACAGCAGCCGCAACCGGCGTGTCGACATTCACCACAGTCAAAGAGGGGTCATCTGGACCTTTGAAGTCTCGATCTGCTGAGTCCATGTCATCTACAGATATGAAGACCTGAGAAGGATGATTGCAGGAGGGGGAAGAAAGGAAAGAGATTAATTTTAGCAAACAAGTCCTAAACTTGTGGGGGGGGGCGTGGTCATGTCAATAGACAAGATCACTGATTGAGCAGAGCATTTATTATCACCTGCAGCATCTTGGTGTGTATCTATTAGGAGGGAATAGAGCAGGGGTAGGCAATAATTTTTGATGGGAGGCCACTCCAAGATTTTGGAAAGTGGTCTATGTCTCCAGCCAGAGCCACCCTGTCCATAGGGTATGTCAGGGAGGCTGTCCCAGGCCCTGTGCTATGGATTGGCCTGGAACGAGGCGACAGCATTCATCAGGGCGGTGCTCAGCCCTGCCCTGCCACCCCCTCCCGGCCTGCTGCGTTGGTTTCTCTGCGGCAGCAGGAAGCCGGGCACCCAGGCCCCAGGGTGCTCTGTTTCCCGTTGCCACGGAGATGGAGCCGCAGTGGGCTGGGAGGGCAAAGTGGAACAAGCTGCTGGGTCGCTCCACTCCCAGCGCCGTGGTGAGTAGGATGACCCCTGCTGCTGCTAGCACCCGGCCCCTGGTAATCCCCTTCTTTGGGGGAGTGGGAAGGGGCAATGCAGGGGCGGGAAGAGGCAGGATGGGGATGCAGCAGGGGTGAGGTTTGGGGGAGACATGGAGGGGGTGGGGTGAGGGTGGGGCAGAGGCAGGACCTGGAGGGGGGGAGTTGCTCTGGGTCCTGCACTTGGGGCACTGGGGGGAGGTTGCCCCAGGTGCCGCACCTGTCTTGGGCTGGCCCTGTCTCCAGCATCACCCACTGAACTGAAACATTCCTTAGCGGGGAGCACACAGGAGGGCAAAGTGCCCGACAAGGCAGCTTACGTCGTTGCTGATGGTGGAATCCCGGTGGATCAATCGCTGGACGTGGCTGTCGATGCTGCTGCCTGATGAAAACTTAGCAAAGATGACGGAGTGCGACTCTTTCTCCCGCTGCTTCACGATGACCTCGCAGGCTTTCCACTCGGCCATGACCTTCTGGTATTTGAGAGCAATGTCCTCATCCACCTTCAAACAGACACACGGACCCTTCAGCTGTAATGTTCGCTGGAAGGCCTCCAAGGCTGTGAGGGACCCCGACCACGTGGCTTGCACACGAGAGATTAAAGCTAGTGAAATGGCCCAACAGGAAGACAGGATCGGAAACCCTGTTGAACTCCAGGGCAACTGGGTTTGGGGCTTATATCGCATGTCCAGGAGGGGTCCTTCCCTAGCAAAAAGTTGCTTGGGGGGGGGGGGAACAGACTTAATTTAGGTATGTGATGTGAAAGAAGATCATGTGCTCACTACACTGGGAACTGGCACGTTTTCTCCGTGAGACCTAGGTTAAGTTGTCTGGGCCGTGTCTTCACTAAATGGAAGACTGATGCTGCCGCGGTCAATCTTCCGGAGTTTGATTTAGTGAGTCTAAAGGCCCACTAAATTGAACTCAGAGGGCGCCCCCGTTGGTGGCCAGGACTCCTGCTTCTGCAAGAAGTAAGAAAGCCGATGGGCGTGTTTGCTCCCATCAGCCTCCTGCTGTGCGGACAGAGGGGAAACATGAAACAAGGTACGTCATCACCAGCTATGTAATTAATGCAGCTCGAGTTGCATATCTTGATTCGACCTTCCCTTTTAGTGTAGACCTGGCCTTAATTTCTCTGTGCCTCAATTCTCCATTTGGATAGTGGGAGTAAAAGCCCCCTCGCCCAGAATTTTGGGGATGGATTTACTGTTGGTGAGGGGTCAACAAGAGGGAGCCACAAATACCTAGAGTAATGGGCAAAGTGGAACAAGGTGCATGCTTGGGCACGGACAGAACGAGAGGCAAAGGACTGGAGGGAAGTTCAAGGCCAGGTCCAGCTACAACAAATAAAAAGAAGCAGCTAAGGTGCAGATTTTGTGGCTGCAGCCAGCCAATAACATCAGGCTTGTTAAATGGGTAACTGAATCTCATGCTTCAGGGTAGAAGCTGCCACCAAGAAGTGCAGGAAGCATTTTTTTAACATTTACTGTCCGGAACTTTCTGACTGGCTGCCCCCAGTGTTCCCTCTCATCTTTTCCATCCATGGGCAGATTTTTTTCCATCCAGGGGCAGAATAATTTTTGAATGTGCACGGAGGCACGTGCGAATGGGCACCAGCAGTAGGAACAAAACCTGGCTGTGGGAGCCCTGCTAATCAGCTGGCCAGCATCGAAATCTCTTCTGAGTGGCCGCAGAAGTGCCCAGCTTCCAAGGAGTGCTCATTTAGAGGTGAGCTGCGACCAGACGGACCAGTGGCCTGCCCTAATCAAATCCTCTGGCACCAGAGGGTATTTCTGCGCCCCCTTTCCATCTTTGCACCTTAGGGCCCTGCAGTGAGCTCCAGACACGAGCGCAGGGGTCTGCACAGAGTTCACTGCAGGACCAGCCACTGAGAGCGATTCTCACCCTGGAAACTCCAGCTCTGATACCATCGCTGCACGGTAGCCGGTCACAGTGACTGGTGCCACGGGGCTAGATGCTGAATAAAGATGGGCTCTGCCCCAAGGAGTTTTCAGTCTAGCTCTTCAACGGCACCTTTTATCTAAGGATCTCAAAGAACGCACCCAACACGAGTTTACGCTTTGAAACGCCCTTGTGAAGTGAGTAGTAGTCCCCTTTCACAGATAGGAAAACTGAGGCACGGGCGTTATTCAGTTCTGATGACCAGTCCCTGGCTTGAATCCCCTAGATGCTGGGACTAGAAGCCAGGTATCCTGACACCAGGACTCCTCATTTAAGCACTAGGCAAACAGTCCCCTCTCAGATATATGCAGATTGGCCTTGCTTTTCTACTTATTATTATCCTTACTTATTGGTTTTATCTCCCTCTGGAGCAAGGATGTAAGAGACTAGTTTCTTCCCTGCCCCCCTTGCTGCCTCTATCAGAGAGAGGAAGTAAGGGGGGAAGGAGCAGGAGCTGGTGCCGGGGGGAGCAGTTTAAAAGCTGGTTCCCCCCAGCACCATCTCCGCGGGGGCAGGGGAGGTAGAGGCACAGTGGAAACAGTGCGAGCAGGGACTGAAGCAGTCTCTGCTCACACCACTTCTGCTGTGATTCTGCTTTTGAAATGTACAAAAGCCCCAGTGGGCGCACAGGGGACACCTCTGGCCCCACGCTCCCTGTGGGGGCTTCCTTTTGAAATGTACAAGAGCCCCAGCCAGGCCTCTCATACATTTCCAAGGTTGAGGTGCCTCCGAGAGCATGTGGCCAGCGGGAGAGTCCCCCTCTGGTCCCCCGCTTGATTCTGCCAGGGCTCTTGTACATTTCCAAGGCTGGGCCAGACGAGTCCCCTGCTGGTCCCATGCTCCTTGCGGGGCTTCCTTTTGAAATGTACAAGATCCCCACTGGGCTCATGCTCCCTGTGGGGCTTCCGCTTTTCAACTGTAGCAAGAGCCCAGCAGGAGGCACCCTTATAAACCGACCGAATCGTCGATGGAAATCCCATCGACTAATCGATGAGTTAATTAATCTAAATTTAACCTCCGTGCTCTGGAGGAAAAGGGAAGCAAGGAGACTGGTGTGTGCTTGTCTCCCCCGGGGATTGCACCCTGGCCATCAGACAGAGGTGGAGTTACTTGGACTCTAGTGCGGCGTGTCTAACAGGAGAGAAAGAGGGGCAGTTGCCAGACCCGTGTCACAGCCGCGGCAGCCCGGAACCAACGTGGCTAACGCTTTAACGTGCCAAGAATGGAAGCCTGGCGGAGA